GGGGGGAGAGGGGGGGGGGGGGGGGCTGCCCTGGCCCCTCCCTGATGGGCTCTCCCATCTTCTTCCACAGGTGGTTTTGCTACCACGTGGGGCAGACCCTGTTCCACCTGGTGCAGGTGGTGCTGGGCTACATGGTGATGCTGGCTGTCATGTCCTACAACGCCTGGATCTTCCTGGGGGCCATCAGACCTGCTACTTTGCCTGGAATAGCTGCTGTCACTTCTGCTGGGTCTGTCCTTGTCCCCATGCTGTGCAGGATGCAGCACCCCAGGGACCTGCTGCAGGGACTCTCCGTGCTGGCCTGACCCAGGGGAGGGGACCCCCAAGGCCAGCACGTTGCTGCTGTCCTCAGCTGGTGGCTGTCCCCCAGTTCTCAGGGAGTTTTTTCGGCCAGGGGGGTTGCTGGGCATTTCCTTCAATCCCCACCAACCAGTTTGTTTTAAGAGGGGTTCATCCTGGCTGAGTGATCCAGTGACCTGCTGGGGAAAAAAAAAAAAGGGGACAGGCTGGGGACAGGCAGCCCTGCCCTGCACCGAGCCCCACTTCACACAGTGCCTACTGGGGATAATGGGTGTCCTGCTGCCCTCCCCCCAAGCCCCCCCTCTGTCCTCACAGTGCTGCAGGGAGGGGGTCAGAGCAGCCCCCCAAGCTGTCAGTGTGGCTGTGCCGAGGGGAAGCTGCTGCTGGGGGTGCCTCTTGCTGCTTCCTTGGGACCCCCCTTGTAATAAAAGCATCTCAGTCATTGGCTTGTGTTCCTGTTGGGGGGGGGCGGAGCTCAGGATGTGACACCCCCTGGTCACACCCCCAGCCCTACCCCACCAGCACAGCCCCAGGGGGAATTGTTCAGGAATACAAGGACAGTCTCCTCTGGCTTTTAAATAAAGCTTTTCCATTTTATTAATTATTATAAGCATATTTTTTTCTTTTTTAAACATTTGTATAACTTTCTTAATAAAATATCCTGGAAGAGACAGGGTTTTTTTTTTTTTAAGTTCCCAAAGCAAGGCACTCTGGGGGGGCCTCCCCGAGTGGGTTAGGCTGGGCACCCCCTTTCAGAGGCAGAAACACCTAAAATAGAGGCGAGGGTCGGGGTGCTGGTCCCTGCTCTGTGCACCACACGTGGCTCAGGCCCAGCCCAGCCCAGGGGCTCTCAGCACCTCTGTGGGGGGAGCCTGGCACAGCCCCCTCCCCACAGCAGGCAGGGCTGCTGGGGGTCCCAGCAAACCACTGCTAAGGCACCAGCTCTTTGCCCAACCATCACTGCGGGTCCCAAAAACCTGCCAGGCTTGAGAGCCTGAGGAATCATCCTGGCGTGGTGCTGAGAGGCTCCTGGGGGGGTTGGGCAGGAGCTGGGACCCCTCCTGCACGGACCAGAGGCAGCCCAGTCCTGCCAGGCAAAGGTGGGGACGTGGTGTCAGTGCCACCTTGCCTGCTGAGGTTTTACTCTGAACTTTAAAGGGTGGCAGGGTGGAGGTGGGCACTGGGTGCCATGAGCCCACCCTGGGTGTTAATGAGCCCACCCTGGGTGCCATGAGCCCACCCTGGGTGTTAATGAGCCCACCCTGGGTGCCATGAGCCCACCCTGGGTGTTAATGAGCCCACCCTGGGTGCCATGAGCCCACCCTGGGTGTTAATGAGCCCACCCTGGGTGCCATGAGCCCACCCTGGGTATTAATGTGCCCACCCTGGGTGCCATGAGCCCACCCTGGGTGTTAATGAGCCCACCCTGGGTGCCATGAGCCCACCCTGGGTGTTATGAGCCCACCCTGGATGTTAATGAGCCCACCCTGGGAGCCAAGAGCCCACCCTGGGTGTTAAGGAGCCCACCCTGGGAGCCAAGAGCCCACCTTGGGTGTTAATGTGCCCACCCTGGGTGTTAATGAGCCCACCCTGGGTGTTAATGAGCTCACCCTGGGTGCCATGAGCCCACCCTGGGTGTTAAGGAGCCCACCCTGGGAGGGTCCCAAAAACCTGCCAGGCTTGAGAGCCTGAGGAATCATCCTGGCGTGGTGCTGAGAGGCTCCTGGGGGGGTTGGGCAGGAGCTGGGACCCCTCCTGCACGGACCAGAGGCAGCCCAGTCCTGCCAGGCAAAGGTGGGGACGTGGTGTCAGTGCCACCTTGCCTGCTGAGGTTTTACTCTGAACTTTAAAGGGTGGCAGGGTGGAGGTGGGCACTGGGTGCCATGAGCCCACCCTGGGTGTTAATGAGCCCACCCTGGGTGCCATGAGCCCACCCTGGGTATTAATGTGCCCACCCTGGGTGCCATGAGCCCACCCTGGGTGTTAATGAGCCCACCCTGGGTGCCATGAGCCCACCCTGGGTGTTATGAGCCCACCCTGGATGTTAATGAGCCCACCCTGGGAGCCAAGAGCCCACCCTGGGTGTTAAGGAGCCCACCCTGGGAGCCAAGAGCCCACCTTGGGTGTTAATGTGCCCGCCCACCTGGGGGTCCAAGAGCCCACCCTGGGTGTTAAGGAGCCCCCCCTGGGTGCCATGAGCCCACCCTGGGAGCCAAGAGCCCAGCCTGCCCCAGTGGGACAGTGGTTCAAGCCTCCCTGTGTCCCTGCTGTGCCCCTGGCCACCCTCACATTTTCCATCATCCCCCATGGCCCTGACTCCCACCAGCACTCCCGGAGCCAGCGGGGTGGGCAGGATCCCAGGAAACCCCCCCACCCCAGGTTGCGGCAGCTGGGAGCATCCCCCATCCCCAGCAGGGCTAGTGCCAGCCCCCCCACGGTAGCCCCCGGCACTTGGGGGGGGGGATGCAGATAAAGCATCTCTTCAGTAGAAAAGAAGAAAATAAGGCAGAAAAAGGACAGAGCAGAGTGCAGGGGGTACCCCGGGCCAGTGGTCTCCCCCAGTCTGACCCAGTAGGACCATTTCAGCTGTGGCCAGCCCCACAGAGTAGTGGGAAGCTCCCCCCCCGGATAGGCAATAAGGTCTCAGTGTTTCCCATCCCCTCCCTCTCCATCCCTGGCAGCAGGTCCTGTTTCCCCCAACCCCAGCACTGGGGTCAGTCCATGGCAAGGGGCCCCCAGGGCTAGAACTCAGTCTGCACCCCCTCACTGCTCTCTGTCGTGCCCGGGGGCTGTGGGGGGCTGCACCCACTGCCCGGGGGGGCCACCTCCTCGCCCGTCTCCTTGTCACTGGGCTGGTGACACCCCCTCCCAGCAGATGGTGATGGGACATCAGCTCTGGGTGCAGGTGATGCTGGTGTGGCCTGGGGCACCTTGGCTTCTGATGGGACATCTGCTCCAGGCTTGGGGGAGGTTGGAACGTGGGATCTGGGCATGGGGGATGGTGCCGTGGGGGATGCTGGTGCACGGTGTTCCAGGACCTGGGCTGCAGGAGCAGGTGATGCTGGTGCAGGATGTTGCCCCCCAGCCCCTGATGGGACCTGGGCTCCAGGGACAGGTGATGCTGGTGCAGGATGTTGCCCCCCAGCCCCTGATGAAGCTCCAGAGGCAGGTGATGCTGGTGCAGGATGTTTCCCCCCAGCCCCTGCTGGAATTTGGGCTGCAGGAGCAGGTGATGCTGGTGCAGGATGTTGCCCCCCAGCCCCTGATGAAGCTCCAGAGACAGGTGATGGTGGTGCTGGATGGT